ATTTTAATTCTTCCTAGTTCAGATTAAAATTTTGAAGTTAACTAGTTGACATTGAAATGATTGTGAAGTGAACTAGTTGACTTCAAAATTTTAATCTGAACTAGGAAGAATTAAAATTTCAATGTGTCCTAGTTCGATTTAAAACTGAACTAGATTTTAATTTGTCCTACGACATATATATATATATATGCTTTCATGAAATCTTACATTTTCTTGATTTGCTAATAGATATATACTTCGAATTGGATTCCATGTATCAATTGTTGATGCATCACGCCCATCAGCTACACTCCAACAAGTTGGATAGCGTTGTCCGTCTTCTTTTGTTAAAACAAAACAACATGGACCACTATAAATTGATACACCTAAATATTAAAAAAAATTATTTTATTTTATTTATTTCTTCGAATAAGACTCATATTTCTAGCATACCTATAGCTATCCAACTGTTTTTGTTCAATGTTAAAAAGTAATTATTTAATAAAACAGCATGTTCTTCGTCATCGCCAGACATTGTATGTAAAAATTGCTAAAATAAAATGTTTATTTCTTCAGAATACAAATTATGAATGAAGAATCTATTAACAATAGAGATGTTGACAGCTTGCCCGTTTCATAATAACTCGCGTGGCATGTGACTCGAGTCGCAACCTGCTAGCGGATTCAGTCTAGGGCAGATTGCAGAATCACAAGTGAACTCAAGTCCAATAAGTGCGATCGTTTTAGTTGATGTTTCCACCATGTATAGGGCGCAGTATTACGTTCATATTTCATCGTTCAGTAAACGATCGGATACTTCATTTTCAGTTCGTTATCGACTGTGTACGGAACGATAAAATACGATCGTAACAGTGCGCCTACCAAACGCCAATCTACAGTTATTTACAACAGCAAACTGCATGAAAAAACAGTATACGATATTGTTCTTGGCCACTTCGACCACTGTAATCATCGTCCTGGGAATGAGTCAAGCTTTGCTCGTCAAAAGATTTTCACATATGAAGATTTTTTTTTGCTTTAAAAATTACATTTCTAAAGCAATGAGTGAAATAATGTCGCAGCAAGCTGATACTTTTCATAGAGCTATATGCAAATATTAATTCAAGAAAATTCAAAGAGATACAGCCTTGTTCTTTGTTACATGAACATCACAGAAAAGTATTTTATCACTAGTTTACTTTAAAAGTTTTTGACTTTTATTGCTACCAAAATAAAATACTGGAAATTGATGGCACTTGAACGCAGTATTCAGAACCGAAAAGTTCCCAGATTTTTCTAGTGACCTCTGGGCAATTTCCCGCTCATTACAACAGATAAAGATTCTACCGAGTACGAGACTCATTTTAGATTATATATTGGGAAAAAAATTCAGGTATAAAATGTAAGTGGTAGATTATCGAAAATTTTCAAGTTTTGAATAAAGTTGTTTGTAGTTGTTTTTATTGAATTAAATTAACAATAGTGAGTACGATCATTTATGTAAAATCAACATGAGCATCAATATTACTCAAATTAGTGAGTAGTATATCAAGAAGCTAGTAGCAATCATCATTGAGTACATGAGATTGTATTATGCAATGTTTGTTCTTCTGTTCCAAAGAAAAAGTTTCTTTTCAGTAGAAAATAATCTGATACTAACTAGATTCGTTAACAGGCGGGATTTTCCGACCTATTCTGGTCTGCAGAACAAATCAGGCCTAATGATGTTTCTTTTTTTTAAATCCACTAAAGTCTATAACGTCATTGTAAACTATCATTCTAGTTTCAGTTATATACTTCATTTTTTTCATGAGAACAGTACAATAACAAATTCTTGAAAAAAATCATGGGTTTTTACAGTAGAGCCCATTGGAACCAATGTTCTGGGGCTCAAAACCAGATCTGACGGACTTCAGAGCCAACCCAATGGATCTATTGCGAAATCATCTTATATTTCGAGTGATACTAAGGAAAATAATATTACATCACACACAGACCAATAACTTTGGTCAAGTCTGATCCAATACTATATGAACAGATAAAAAAATAATCATTATATCTATCAACTTACATCAGATGTTTCCCAAATATCACATAATCCTGGAAAAATAACTGTATCCGAAAGAAATGGAATTAATGAAACAAAACGAGCCAATTGTTGCTAAAAAATATTTAATGTAGAAAAATAACATAATTCAATTTTCTTTATAATGAAAATATATTTACACATTGCATTTGATTATCTGCTCCACCTCCAGCAGCCGCTGCTGCCGTTAAACCAAGTTGTGGTAATGGTAATGGACGAAGAAAACGCGGTATAAATACCGATCGACCATTTATATCTGATACTGTTGCTTTATAATCTCGATTAGGAAATTTTTTATTCAAGTCAGTAACCCAAAAACGAGCATGATTCAGTAATTCAAGTGATTCTGTACTATCAAACTATTGATACAAATAAAACAAATATATATGTATTTTATTTTGTTATTGTTTCTAAAAAACATTTATTCGTACTGATTGTTGAACTGATTCTGGTGGTGCTAAAAGTGGTTCCATTGTAATAAACATACGAAGTACACTAGTTGGTGATGTTACTCTTGTTGTTTCAAGTTTTCCTGGAGATAATTTATCTCTTGAATAACCTAATAATGGCGTTGGTATATTCAAACGATAAGTACCTTCTAACTAAAATAGATCAAAAATAGTTTCGTTATTTCAGAAAAATAAAATAAACATTTTGTTGTTTTTGTTGTCATTACTCGTCCATTAACATAAATATTACTAAATGGAATTTTAATTGATCCAAGCCAATTTCTTGCAATACGTTCTCGTACAATTTGATCATGTTCATGAACTGTTTTTGGTTCCTCAACATGAAGTTCATCAAATATATTTATATAAAGTATATCACGACAACGTTGTAATGAACTTGCATCAAAATCATTATCTGGTGGCCTTGATGATAAAACAAAAATGAAAAACAAGTCAGATGTTAGTATTCTCATTGTAAATTTCATTTAAAACCAACTGCAAATTTTCACATATGAATTTTATTTTGAAAATTATCATGTTCGTATTATTAATAATTCTTTTATTTTATCCATCAATTGTTATATCAGATTCATTACCCTATGCAGAATGGGCTCATTATCATATGGTTTGGTTACACAATTCTCATACAAATCAAATAGATATACAAAATATGTTTAATGATTATATAAATCATAATATTCAATTTGGTACTGTTAATATTGATTCAACTTGGGCTACAAATTTTAATACATTTATATTTGATCCAATAAAATTTCCAACAATACGAAATATGCTTGATGGATTTCGTGAAAAAAATATTCATATTGTTTTATGGATGACTTCAATGATTAATATTGATTCACCAAATTATCAATATGCACAAGATCATGGATATTTATTTAATAAAACAATTAAATGGTGGCATGGACAAGGACGTTTATTAAATTATTTTGATGAACAAGCTGTTAATTGGTGGCATAGTCAAATCGAACGACTTATAGATACTGTTGGACCCATTCATGCATTTAAAGTATGAAAAACTTCGATATTAAACATCTTTTAATTATATAGTATAGTTTATTACAAATGAGTTAGATCGTTTCGATAAATTATTCATCAGTCAGATATTTCTTCTAAAGCATAAATGTATAAATTCGCCGAAGAAATATATTGTATAGAAACTTGTAAAACTGTATATGAGAAATTTCATTTGTTAGCGATAAAATTTAACAAAATAATAATACTGATATCTCGGGATTCGGACATATATTTTAACTAGTTTCTATTTCATAGATGTATGTTCAGTTACTTGAGATGCTTAGAAAAACTCAGTCCCCATAGATTTTGATTTTACTATGTTATTATCGAAAAATTAGCTTTAGCGACGTGATACAAAAACAGTGACAACTTTTTTCACTTCAATTCACAAATCCTATAAGTTCAAAGAATATATTTGAAAACTAAATCGTGTGTCTTGCAGAGAACTTTTTCGACTACAAAAACATCTACGAGAAGTTTTTTTTTCTGAACATGGTTGTCGTTGTTAGCGATGTGACTGAATATTAATATAGAAAAGAAAACTCGTTTTGTAACTAAATAAGACGTCCAAAACAAAAACAATTTTAAATGATACAAATCCTTCTTCGAGATCACAACATAATTACAAAACAAAAAGTCCTTTTGTGAAATTAGGATAGACCTCTGAAAAACAAGTTTTGAGAAGACAATATTTTGAATTCAATCTTACTGAAAATTCCACTATAGATATAATCTACGACATGAAATCTATTCTGAAATTCTTGAACTTTTCCATCAGCAGTTTAAAAAATGAATTCGCTAATTACGTTTTAATTAATTAAGTATTAACTGAAAGAAGTCATATTTTTTCATATAGTTCTTAGGAAAGAATTTGTTCAAAATAATAATTCTTATAAAGAATTCAAATCAAATTGCAGATCATATGTTCCCTAAAAATTATGTCTAGACTACAGTAAAAAAAAACCTATATGTCAACACAAAAATTGGTTCATATTGTTTTTTTTATCATAGGCTGATGGTACTGATCCATATATAATTGAAGTACTTGATCCTTCCGTAACATGGGAACGTTATCGTACAGCTTATTATAACGACACATTTCAAATTTTACGTCGATTAGTTGGTTCAGAAGCTTTAATTATGTCACGTCCAGTTGATAATGATCTTGATTTTTCTCCACGTGAAGTTGTTTTTATGGGTTGGGTTGGTGATGAAGATGGTACATATAATGGATTAAAAACAGCTCTTCGTTATATGCTTCAAAGTGGTCGTCAAGGTTATGTTGGTTTTGGTTCGGATATTGGTGGTTATCGAACTGATCCTAATGCTGGTAAATTAGGTCGTACAAAAGAATTATTTCTTCGTTGGACAGCTATTGGTGCTTTAAGTTCATTTATGGAAAATGGTGGTAGTGGTGAGCATTTACCATGGAATTTTGATAATGAAACAACTGATATTTATCGATCATGGGTTAATTTACATTATAAACTTGTACCTTATCTTTATAGTGAAGGTACAAAAGTAGCACTTGGACATAATGGTACATTAATGAAACCATGTGATGATATTGAAGTATTATTTAGTCATTCATATTTTCTTGGTCCACATATATATGTTGTACCAGTTTTACAAGATCCAAAACCTGATCAAACTCAACGTTTATGGTTACCAAAAAGTTCAACAAATCAATGGATAAATTATTTTAATACATCAATTATACATAAATCTCATACATTTATTAAAGAAGATACAAGTAGTCTTTATCGTATACCAATATATATTGAACAAAATTCTTTAATACCAATGTATGATATTGAAAAAAATTATTCACTCAACGCATTCAAATTTGTTTTATGGGGTAAAATTATATTAGATAAACAACAAACAACATTATTTACACGTGATGGTCAACAATGGTTATTAGAATTTAATCGTTTTCAACAAAAATTAACTATACATCTCATTCAACAATATGATTCAAATGAAAAACATGAATGGATATGGAAATTTTGTCAATATGTTAATCAACAAGAAATTTGTTCACATAAATGGTTACCACTTTATGATAATGCTTCTGTTCAACTTGAATTTTTAATTTAAAATAAATAAATAAATACCTGAAAGGAATACGTAATTCTTCATTCCAACTTGGATTAGGTCCATCAGCTATACTTGTTCGATAAGTTTTTTTTTGAAATTGAATTTCAACATAAGGTCGTACTAGTGGCTAAAAGAAAAATAGACAATATTTATCTTGAAAAACGAGGCTTTTCGAAAATTTCACATTTAAAATACATTTAATCAATATCAACAACATCTGTTGTAGTCTCTGAGAGTGTGTAGGTATGTCCAAGCTTTTGATTCTATACTTCAACACTCGTTTTGGATTGTGTTTCACAAAAGCTTGTCAATGCAGCTCTTTTCTAAGCTACAATGTAGAACTTGTATGTGTTATTTAGCCTCATTATACTAATAGAAAATATGTTAAGTGAATAATCTCTAGTAGACTATAGTAATTTTTCAAGAAAAAACGATCTCCAGTGAAACGATCTGTCTTATTTATTTCTCTATTTCGAACAGAAATTTTATTCTTTGTCTATTACAGCTGTACTTTTTGTTTTACTTAACTTCACATTATTTCTATTACTTTAACCATTGGTTTAACTTACAAATAAACTTATTTTACATATGCATTGTATCTACAGTAGGTTCTAACACACTATGATATATCTTAATAAGCTCACAAACACTGATATTAATTATTTTCCAAAATCATAACTTAATCAGTTCACACTGTTTCATATTGATCCTTTGATGACTGTGGCAAATTAATACATTACTATCCATCATCGTTGACATCTTAGATTTAAATTTCGATCAGTACAAAAATCCAAAACTACACTATTTAAAACATTCAAAAATGTATTCCAGACATTGGGATTTCGAGAAAAGCTTTGGAATGTTCTAGAACAGTCTAAATCTTGTTATTAATGTGCCTGTTGTTCTCATTTGCTATGGTAACATATGCAAGGACCGTTGGCTTTCTCTCCTTCCATTCTATTACTATAAGGAAGAATCGCAAAACCTCAACAAGAGACATGAATCTATGCTAACAGATGATGAATGAATTCATAAAAGTATTCGATATTTACGTCATGAAATTCGGTTAAAATCTTTGATAAAATATCCATATTCTCTGTTAAAGCGTATTTTAATTGGTTTGAACAAGTTTATTGTAAAGTGACAAACAAATGCTTTGGCTAACATATTGACTTTTTAAAAGATTTACATCGCTCACTTTGTTCTTTCGAGCGAGATAGGAAGCATAAGTCTCTAGATACTTACACTCCAAAGTTATTCGAAAAACAACGAAACAAATGATATTTCTAAATAGATAGTAGTGTCTAGTGTGTATACGAAATCGAAGCAATAACGTTCAAGTTTATGATGTAATGTTGACGCTATGTACGTGATTGCCTTACGATAAAAAAGAAGAAATTTCTATTTAAAACTATAGCAAGACAAACTACATAATGCAAATATTTGTTACATCTTTGTCTTAGAACATAAGTCCAGAAAGCTTAATTAATCGAATCACTTCTGATCAAAATTAAGCATTATTAGTTTAATAAATATTTACCAATCGTTCTGTAACTGGTTGTTCTGTAGTCCTAACAGTTCTTGCTCTTTCCCTTAAAAAAATTGACAGAAATAAATATTTATTAAAACTCATGTTTCTTTTTTCGTTTTTCCTACTTTTCAAGAGCATCACGTCGTATAGGTAAATCCAAAGCACCAATTAAATTAACCAAAATAAATGCATCTCGATTAGCTGTTAAAGCTAAATTTGTTACTTTCTTTTGTTCGACACGACGTCGAGTTGGATATAATGGACGTGTTGGTTCAATATATAACTTAGCTATTACACCACGAAGAGCTCTATATTAAAATAAAATATTTTGATTATTTTTATTGTTGTTGTTTTTTCATATCTTTTATAATTAATCTTACCGTATATCAGGTATATTCTCTTCAACAACCATGTCGTCAAAAGATTTTCGACCTGATGTAAGTGCAAAACGAGCCGATATTTGTTCACGCATCTATTTTAATAGACAAAATAAATATTTATTTTTGAATTAAATATAAGAAACAAATTTTACTTTTCGTAAATTTCTTTCACCTTGTCGTCGTACAATATCAATACGTGTTTGCCGTCTTGCTTGAAATTGTTGATCAGCATTATCACCATAAGCAGCTTCTCTTTGACGATCCATAAATTTCTATATTTATTTAAAAAAAGAAAACAAAAATCATTATAGTTTATTTCATAATAATGCTAAGAAAACAGAGGAAAAAAAAGAACAATATACAGCATAGATCTCGTTGTGATCGGAAAATATTTTCACTCATAAATTGTTTATTCTTTTATTTTGTTATTGAGAGAACAAAAGAAACGAATATTTCAGATGTTTTCAGAATTCCTTTCTAACATCTATCGATTATCATCAATTTTAGATTGACTTAACGATAAAATATTGGATTCAAGATTAAATGAAACATTTAAAAACTATTTTCAATAGAATTTTTATTCAACAAATAATACAACTTATGAATAGTTCCATCGAATCAAGCATTATATGCATAAGAAAAGTCTAATGAACTTGCTAACGAAAGTTAATTTTCGAAATTTACTCAACGCTTTATCGTCGAGCACTAGTTCAGTAGAGTTGATGTTGCGTCAACCACAATAATAGCATATGCAGATAGTGATTATGATATTGATATGGTTAAACTTGGACGAAATCATTTCATTGTGAAGATGTCGAATGAGTCAAAAATGACTTATGTTGTCATGAAAAAGCTTGCCAGTGCAACGTCATGAGAGTCAAAGAGTGTAACTCTACTGGTCGAAGATATGAAATCAACGTATTTTGTGAGTTTTTCTTTTTTATGATACCAAACATTCAACTCATCATCAGTTAGTGATTTGAATAACCAATGAAGTTGTCTATTAAATACAATTCATACTGAAATTTCATAGACTGACTTGATTTCTCAGAAATCGTTCACTCATAGTCTGTCTATGAACTTTTTACCATGGAATGTATTTAATAGAGAACTTTGTTGGCTATTCAAACCACTATTTTGAGATGAGTTTAATACTTAGTATCATAAAAATAAAATCGAAAATACGTTGAACTAATTTAGTCAAGGATAATGAAAAGAAGTTTAATTTTTTATGAATTTCTCGCTTTTGGACGACTCTACAAAATATTTAGAAAGTATCTTTCTGAGTCAAAAATGATTTCACAGAAAAGTAAAAGGTTAATCTCAAATAAGATACTAATTTATATATTAAAATAGTCTATTATTTAGATAACTAAATAAATAAATGTTAAAATTTTATAACAAATTTTATATGTACTTTAAAAATCCCATATTTTTTTCGTACAAGATAATCATAAGTTGGTACATATCTAAAATCTTTAAATTCTGGTAAATTTTCTTTTCTTGCTTGTAATAATTTAAATCTTAATGAATTATCAATATCTATTTGTTGATCTTCTTGTTCAATTTCATCAATTGATAAACGAAAATGTTGTAAAGCATTGATTTCAAAGTTTGTATCACCACGTGTATCCGTATAATCCTAAATATTGAATCAATTCAAAGAAATTGTTGTTTTTATTTTCTTTTAAATTTCTATTGTTAATCATACTTTCATAAGATTAATAAGAAAAGCATTTTCGGGATCATATGGATCAAGATTTGATTGTTTTATCCATTCAATTAAATTTTTCATATTACTTAAATTAATTGCTTGCATGCTTATATCTTGTTGTAAACCACCACCCATTTGTCGACTAGAAAGAATGCATTGTAGTTTTTATAATGCTTTGTTTTGTTTTTATTTAAGGTGGTGACAATTCGAAATTTGAGAAAATTTTTCTTTTGGAAACTTAGGACAATTAAATCAGAAAAGTCTATAAAAACTAGAGCCTCGCTTAGCTCAATAGTCATTCGGATTTTTACAATAGTCGGTCGTGAGCTTTTCTTTTGCAATATATTACTCATAATTGCTGTTTGGCATTGCGATAATCTGAAGTTCGAAGAGTTGTATAGTTTTCGTTCAAACTTTGTCACCGACTTCTATGTTTGTATATGATCAATTTTTTTTTAAATTTCGATACGAAAGTCCATTTGTTCTAAATTCGCTTCACAAAATGACGATTTTGAAGCGAGAAATCTAGCTTGTAGGTGTGGCTGAAAACAAACTCTAGAATCACACTCACATCCTAATTTTATAAACGATGAGTCTAGTTTGGAAATGTTCTTCTCATCATAGGCTTAGTCTGTACACCATCTAGATATTTTTTGGTTTTACCCATCATGTGATTAGGAAAAAACCTATGTATGCAGTTTGACAAATATTGTTTCATTGCTGAGAAAATCAATAAAACACGATAAATATGGATTCGTATTCATAGATTTTATTCATTAGAACTTCAGCTCCAAACGAAACAAACATTATATTTGGAATCTGCAAAGACATCTGCATAAAATATTGACCTTAGGAGAACCCACAGATTAGTAAATTCGTAAAACATAGTGAAGGGGTGTAATAACCAAAACTTGACGAAAACGTTTTTCAAGCGTTTCGTACACCTGAATGCAATATTTTTTGCTCATTCTGAATATGTTATCTGTATTTATTATTTTTGATGTATTCCATTTTTTATAGGATTTTCTGATTTTTTTAAGCTTAATTTTCGCTACAAACACATGGCTCAAATAATTGCAGAGGTAACTCGATGAACTCTATTCAACTATGAGAAGAAAAAGAACATTTCTTTCAAATTTCGAATTATCGACATCTTACTTTAGAAATGCTTTTGAAGTTGCATAATCTGGTGGTACAAGTACAACATCATCTTGTACACCCCATGCTACACATGCATTTAAAACACCTTCAATATTTAGATAAGTAGGTAAGAAATCTCCAAATTGTATTGGTGAAGGAATGCCAGCACCAACAGCTGTTGTTTGAGTTGGATTAAATTGTCTTAATACATTTGAACTAAATTCAAATGCTTGTAATTTATAATTTTTACTTGTTACTGTTGTTTCTGGAATAGATAAATAAACTTCAGCTAATGATGAACGAAAACGAGCTGATGCTTCATAGAATTCAATTTTAATTGTTTCCGGTGTACGAACAATATAACATGGAAATATTTGACCAAAATGCCCTTCAAATTCACTTGTCAATGGTCTAAAAAGAAATTATACAGCTAACAAAAACAAAACAAAAAGAAACAATAAAATATTATTCATACATAGTTGGTGTGTCAGCTATTACTTTGCCATTAACTAATATACGAGCGAATATATCTGATGAAGTTTGAACATTATGTCGACGTGCTCGTTCACGTCTGGAAAGAAAATAATTATTTGATAATTATATTAAAATAATTAAATGTACTTACGCATTACATTCGGAATCAGTTGATATTTGTTCAGAATAAACAAGTTCAAGAAGAAATTCAGGTTCGTCTAAAATAAATCATTATTTCATTGATTTTATACACTTAAAATGTCGTTTTCACTGGAAAATAATTCGAATAATCATATTGAATAACTAATTCCAAGATTCAACAGAAATATTAGACATTAGTATGTCTATTTTTTGATGAACGCAAAAAACCAGCGAATAATAAACGTGAACATTTTCCTTTTGCTAACAAAGACTATAGCAAATACTATTGCTTGTTTCAGTAGAAGATTGAAAATTTATTAGTAAATTCAAAACTAGATCATACCAGTCTCAAATGTTTAGTGTGATTTGAAATAAATGGATATCGGTAAATGCATTCTTCTACTGAGAAAATCATCCATGAATATGTTTATATTAGTCTTCTTATTATTTATTCGTTTGCAAGATTTTCCTATAAAAACTCCTTAAACAATTCGTTCGAAGTAATGTAATAAACCATCATTCTTAACTGATCGATCACTTTTCGTTTGGTTCCTATCAGGTCTATATATGGGAATAATTTCAAGTTGAAATTGGATCATTCACCTTCTCAATGATTCTATGCTCAAAGAACAAAAATTGATTAAAGTGCCTATAACTCAACACGCGAAGACTAGAAAACTAAACAAAAATAGATTTGTTTACTACTCCTTATGACTGATCAAATGACCTTTTAATGTTAAGGAAAAAGGCGCTTAGAAATGGGGAATATTCTCTTGTTAGTGACGCAAAGTTTACTTGTTGAATCTTGAATCCGATGATATCATTACTATAGACTGTCAAGCTTTTCATCTATTTTCTGATCAGTCAATTACTTTTATTTTCCATGAGAACAAATAAAGTGCTCTGAACAAGAGTAGCTACTCCATTCTGAAATCCATCTATTATTTAAGATATTGAGCTGATATTTTTGGGTACGTGTGTGCGACTTTAAAATCAAATCGCTATTACTGTGTTTTTCTCGCATTATAGAAAATATCATATGTCTACTTTATTATAATCGAATCCTATAGCATTAATTGGACTGTGACTGTAAAACTTTCACCACACATTTACGAATCTTATGAGAATTTTCTGTTAAAATTTTTAAATGAATTAGTTAAAGATAAAATAAAAAAGATCAATCTTTACTAAAAATCCAAATTTGTTCTTTAACTGACGTTCTTAATGAGAAAACAATGTTTGACTCATTTCAAAGTAGTTTTTAACGAAAATCACACTGGAGATAGCTGCGAAATTAAGCTTTCGAATGAAGAACTGCACAAAAACATTTGCTTCAATATTGTTGGAATAACGTGATCATCAGAACCCGTCGGGTTGATCTGGGACTGAAAATTTCCCATCCGACGAGCTCTAGTCGTCTGAGAAATGTGTAGGATTCATTTACTCACCGAATACAAAAAAAAATATCTCGTATCTTCGGAACCATTATTCAATGCCAATTAGAAAACTTTCTTAAGATTATCAATGCACGGCTCGATAATTTTGAACCCGACAGGCTCTAATGATTACATAAGAGACATATGAACTCAATATCATAAAGAAAGACAGCAGTTCAGAGTCGTCGACTACCATTGTCCGGTATTGTAAACAAATTTATGATGTTTTTTACCTGCAGGTCGAAGAGCATTTTGATATTTTGCTAATATTGTTGTTCGAATTTCATCTCGTTTACGTGGTTCTGGTTTTTCAGGCACATTAATATCTTCCTCATTAATAATTGTGATATCAGCCTTTGAATATATTAAAATAATTATATTAATTTTTTTGTTCGGTCTTTATATTTACTTGATCATAATCACCATCACCAGCATCTGTTGTCATTGCTGCAGCTTTTTTTTTTTCTAAACGTTTTTTTGCTTCTTTCTACAATAAAATAAAAATAAAATTTTATTTATCAGTAGAAAAAAACAACACCAATAATAAAATAAAGTCTACCTTTCGTGTATCTTGTAATTTTTTTTTTCGAACTATCTTTGAATGAGCTTCTTTTTCTTGTTGATATTGTTTATCAGCTAAAGCAATTTCATCTTCAATTTCTTCTTCAATTTGTTGTTGCATTTGTTCATATTGTTTTGTCTTCTTGCCTGATATTCTATATGTAACAATTTTATATCAATAAAAGTAAAATAACAAAAAAACAACAACAACAACTAATACGAACTGTTTTATAATAAGTTTAAGAGATGTTGTTGTATAACCATTTCCACGACGAATATCTTTAATTTCTTTCCAAGCATCTAATAAATGTTTTAGTAAATCTCGATCAAGTCTCATTTCATTACAACGTTGATTACGAGCTTGACTATAATAATAATAATGGCAAAGAAAAGAAAATATCAAGAATTTTTTTTTTAAATTATTTATAAAAGAATTATTTCATACCGAAGTTCATTTTGATAATTAACTAATCGATCATGTAATTCTTTCGATTCTGATGAATCAGCATACTATAGATAGTGAAAAGTTATTACTTTTTTTTTTCATTATTAAAATAAAGAAAAAACAAATTTTACTTTAGTTTGTTCATATAATGTTCGATAATTATTTTCTGCACTTTTAAGAGCTTTAATCTATATGAATAAAAAGATTTTCTTTGTTTATATATATATATAAAGAATTATAAAAATTTATTAACTTTTTCGGAAAGTTGTTGAACAATACGTTGTTGTCTTCGAACAGTATAATATTCGTACATTTGTTTCATTTTCATTGCTAATACATGTTCCAGGCTCATTAAATGATGATGCACAAATGAAATCTTGCCTAAATCAATATCTAGACGATAACGATCAGCACCTATCGGATCATTTGATAAACCATGTTCACTATCACTTTGATAAGCCTAAATTTCGAAAGAAAAATTCAAAATCTTCATTTGTATTTTGAACCAATAAATGACTGCGTTCATTTCTAACTTAAAAAGATTGCTAGACACTTCTAAATTTATGTGATCATTGTTAACAGTGAATGCTGATTATCCAACAAGCTTATGTAGTTTGTCCTAGACCATTTGTGACGATATAAATGTCTTGAGAACGTCTTCCAAACAGTTTAAAACTCACAAGTTCATATGGAGATCTCGATGAGACTAAAATGATCCTAAAAGGATTCGTGCCCATGGACCTCTGAAGATGAGTTATAAGTTTTCACTGAATTTTCGATACAGCTTTAAGTGTACACTGAAAAATCAATAAGACGGTCGTAGCTCGGCTTCAGAGGTCTATGGAGTACAAATCCTTCTACGATTTTTCTATTCTTACCGAGACCTCCTTGCGAATTCAATTTGGGTTCTAACGACAAGTATCAACTCTGGTAGTTATCTCGTCAGCTGATGTTTACTATTTTCGCCTCAAAATAGTACCAGATACCCTCAGTACGCAAAGTACAAGGGTTGACTAGAAGATGCTTTTAGAAGTTCATTAGAAATGAATATCCATTATTGAAAGATACATAGCGAGATAACAGTGAGGAATAGAAATGTAAGAAATCAAATTTAGTACCAGTTCCGGTCATTAAGACTACGAGAAAAAAGTTGTTCTAGTTTTTCAGGTATGATACGAATAATTTCTGGAATAGTTTTTTCCAGATCGGAACTAGAACCAAAAAACTTGTTACTGCGCAACTCTAGTGAGAGACTAAAGATGATTCATTCTATCATATCTTCTATGGTTCATGTCCGTCATAATCATGTAAAAACAACAACTAAGGTTAAAACGAAGGCAAATAATAGCTCTATAATTTAAAAGAACCATTCTTTTCGATTTTTCTTTAACGCTTACTAAAAAACCAATCGCTCTGGATTTAGACACACTGATTTTTCCTTATTTTATGAGAGGAATTTTCGAAAAAAAACTTGGGCTTTGTAAAGTTGTATCGCCATAGCTTCGCTAACTCTTCAAAAACTCATTGTATCAAATTGATATTATTACTATGACCTGTCTTAACTCGATATACACCTCTTCTAAAAATTTCATCAAGATTGAATAATCGAAAAAGAAATTTTTCGACAAGAGCCCCATAAAACCTATATCTCAGTCAGATTTAAGAAATTCTTCAATACCTTATAAAATTCTTTTCCTAATGCTGGATCAAAAAGATCATCGATAAGTGGTCGTGTTGGTACAAATTTTGTTGGATCAGGCAATGAAACAATTGCTCCATCAGGTCCAAACCAACGATGAATTGGCTAAAATTCATAAAAAAAAAAATTTGTTTAATTAAAATAATTTTCTTGAGATGTATTTTTTCTCTTTTTCTCACCTTATTTTCATCTACACATTCTTGTAATATTCGTTTTTCGGCTCGACGAATGACATTAGTTGGTACAATAGGTCTTTTACCAACAAAAATACCTTCATCTTCAAGTGAACGTGGTTCAACTATACCATCACCAAGTTTTTCTTGAAGACCAACTAAAAATATAAATATAAATAAAATATCAAAATAAAAATAAGAAAACTGTCAGCACAATTCTTGCGGGATGAAAATATGAAACACAATGTAGCTGCTGTTGCTAATCACAGGAGATTGTTTTTATTCTGTAACAAATCTCTTTACCACCCTGTTACTTAATCGCTCAGAAATACAATAAGGAAGTAGTATTATATATTATAACGAAATATTTTTGATGTACCGTCTTTAATCGTATGTCATATCTTGTGATGATTTCTAGCTAGTAGAGTTTGTCAAGTGCAACACCTTCGAGCCTGATAAAATTGTACTATGTTACTCCACATGAAATTTTCTAATTGAAATTGGATAGTCATCGCAAAGGTACGAAATACTTTTATTCTGTGATTAGCATACTCAACACATTTCTTAGACGATTGGATCTCATCGGTTATAAAATCTTGGGTTTCGAAGCCGACCGAGTTCGAGACTAATCAGACGAACTTTGTTGGCTAGCATCTATCATGGTCTACGAGAGGTTCACATTTGTACTCCTATATTTGAATACTTCTTCTAAATCGTGTTTCACAAAATGAATATCATACTTCGTTGACCAATAACATATTTATATCTTTTTTCTTCTAAATCATGTTCTTCATCTTCATCAAATGCTCGTTCTGCTCGTTGATATTGAGCTAGTTGAATATCTCCAAACATAGTTAAAAGTGGTTGCTTTTCTATAATTTCAAAAATATAAACTTTTTTGTAAAACAAAAAAGGAACAAGAATATCTAATATACTACCTTCAGGTAATTTTTTATCTGCAAATACAGCTTGATCATCAGCTGGTGCACTTTCATCGGTTGTCTGTGCAACAAAAAAAAATAATTTCGTTTAATTAATTGTTTATCAAAATATTTACTTTCGGTTCTCCACCAACAATATTATCTGCTGTTGTTATTCGAGCAACCGTAGTTGCATCTGCTTGTGATTCTTCTATTTCAGGTTTTTCATCTGTCCAAACTTTAAGAAAAAAATCATCTTTGTCACTTAATGATGGCATAGTATCTAAGTGTTCAAGTGCGTGTTGCCAACGTTTTTTTCGATCCTAAATAAAGTACATATCATTATATTGATAAGATTATTTGATTAAAACAAACATCTTGTTTTTTGTCAATTGCCAGACGAACACGCTTATCTTGGATGTTTTCTGGATCAAAACGTGTTGTAAATTCACCTGAAGTTTGTGAAGCAAGTGGTGATTGATCAATATTTGTATCTAATCTACGAAGTGTTCGTAGAAGTTTTAATTCAGTACTTCCTCCATAACGACGAGATGAACCCATTGTTGATAATTGATCTATGTTAAATATAAACGAGAAAACGTACAATATGGATTTATGATCGATTCAGAATTTTATTAAATAGAAAAGTAGTTTTTTTTAATTATTTTTCGAAAGAATCAATTCAAATATGTAGAGAATTACTGACGAATAATATGAGATTTAGAAGATTTAGATTTATAATAGTTTACATATAATAATTGCATTCATGTGTCCTTAGGCGTTTCTTCTCGACTTACTGAATTTCCAAATAGTTGCAGGATATCACGAGAAAAATCTCAATAAAGTGTTTCGACCTGAAATTCTTGCCACAAATAGTTATCTTGGTTCTTATGACATCACGAAAGTTTCAACTCAAACGGATGTTTTTCTTTTGAGAGAAGACGTTTACAAAAAAACATTATGTTCACATAAGATATCTAAGAATAATCCAGTTTTTAGACATTTGATATCTTAACAAGAAATTTTTGTTTAAGCTAAAACTTTTAGAATATCATAATAAGAATTATGAGAGCCATTGTCTGGAAAAACTTCAGGCCGAAGCTCCTAATTGCGTTATCCTGAAATAGGCTGAAAGTTCAATAAAATGACCATAAATTTGAGAAGAAAGGTCTAATAACATAAACTCGTTTAGGATTTTTATCTACACTAGGAATCCTAGATATTAGCTCAAATGGAGATTATCAGTCAGCAGTGAACCCTCTATCGATGACCCACTGTTCAATATTTACATCAACACTGCAGATCCCTATTTACTATAATCATATTGAATCATAATCTAGATTATGTGCATCTAGATTTACAAGTAAACCTAGTGATTCGAACTTTTTCAAAATCAATTATCATTGTCGAGATCGACTTCTGTAATAAAGCAGGGAAAACAATTAAATTATATTACTCAATGTGCAGTTCGACAAAGTTCATCGAGTATAAATTTTAAGATGTTTTCCTGTTAAACTAACCGTCATCAAAAGATTGTCCAGTTCGTGATCGTTTTGCCATTTCAATAATGTGTTCTATTGATCGATCGCGTGCTGTTCCAATTGTTGCTGGTAATGGTTCAACAGTTGAAGCTCGATCTTCATCTATATCACCAGTATGTTTCAAAATATTTCCTTGTCCTTCTTGTATTTGTTGATTAATCGCATGTTGATCATCATCAACATCATCTGATGTTGCTATGGCTTTTGGTTTTTTACTTTGTTGTTGAAGTTCATTAATCTTTCGACGATGTTCTTTTGTTAGATGTGCTTCGAGTCGAATAGCATTTTGAACATTTTTTTCTTCTTCTTCTTCTTCTTCATCATCTTCATTAACACGTTCAATAGAATGTGGAGGTGGTCGTTCTTCTTGAGTAAATGCTTGATTATCATATTGTTGATCATTTGTTGATCGTTGAGCACGTCGTTGACGACGTCGATCAACTGCAGTTGATGCCGATGTTTCACGAGGACTAACATCTGAACTTGAATCTTTAATTAAATTTTCTTGTGATGAATTTGTACGAGCACGACGTCCACGTCTACGTTGTGCCGAAGATCTTTGAAGAAAAAACTAATTTTTTTCATAGTAAAGAAATAATAGAAATACTTACGGATCCATTTTGATTATCGTTTATACGGATTGATATTCTGATTATTAGATCATAAAGCCATTACGTTGGCTTATGACAACGATTGCTTAGTATCAGCCTCTAGATTAAAATAAAACTATCAAAACTAGTTAAAAAAGAATTTTTTTCGATTTCTAGAAAATATTGAACAATAATAAACTATATGAAATTCTAGAAAAATAATTATTCGATAGATGACGTTTACTTATCATTGGTTAATTCAATGGACTAATCAAATTTTTTATCTTTTGTAATATTGTTTCACGTTTTAATCTTTTCCTTTTTCGTACTCATTCATTGACCTTTAACGACAAAAAAAGTTTATCAAATAAAAGTGTAATGGAAAATCAAAGTAAACATTGATTATATTAATTTTCTACGGAAATTCATCTTTGTTCTTCTTAGCCAATAGTGATGTACCTGCTGATGCTCCTCATGCATGCCCAGGCACTTCTAGTACTCTTGCTGGACGTGTATCAGCTTGTGCTGGTTGTCCAAATCAATCGATATGTTCTTCGGGTGAAACACAACGTATTGATCCAGCTATTGTTGAAATTGGTCAACGTTTATCATCGGTTAAACATATTGTTGTTGTTTTAAGTGGAAAAGGTGGAGTTGGAAAAACAACTGTAGCAGTTATGTTAGCTCGAGCATTAGCACGAAATCCTCAATTACGTGTTGCCTTACTGGATATTGATATTTGTGGACCAAGTGTACCAAGAGCACTAGGTGTTGAAAATGAACAAGTGAGTTATTTTGAATATATATATATAGTAAAATATGATAATCTTATATTTAACATTGTACATTCCGCCATAAATTTTCATGCTGGGAATTGGTTTTTTGTAATTATATATTATTTCGATTGAGTGTTAGATTATTTGAGATTCGGATGCATAAGTTTATTTGTTGTGGGGTCGAAGTCAGGATTGCCAGAGAAAAAAGTGAAACATCGGAAAACGTTTTTATGAATAAATCTATGATATTTCTTTTTACTAATTAAATGTTTTCTTGTATTTCTGTTCATTTACACACATTATCTTTGAATGTATGCTCCGATAAAGAAAAACAATATACATACGCAGTTGAATTCGGGTGAACAAGCCAATAGAGTTACTTAATTCGAAATGTTTTTTTTTCCAAAAACCACTCCTAGCAAGCTTCATAAAAAGAAAACAAAAAATAAAGAATTTGAATATTTTTATCAGTCTTTGACCAAATCAGCTTTTCATCTCGATTGATACTTTGACAAGTTTATATCTAAATGAAACTATATTCAAAGATCCTGAAATTTTCTACACGTGCTAGCCGAATTGAAGGTGTGAAGTCTTACACATTACTATTCCTGTTCATCAGAAAAAACAGTTGATTCTGCGTACAGCAGTGTTCTGTTGAAACGATATTAAAAAATAGGCATTCATGAAATTGTTTTTGTTTTATACATATACTCTGTAAAATTTGCTCTTGTAAACATAGAAAAGAAAATCGTGATAAGAATCTTGAAAGCATTACAGGAATGGAAATTGAGAAAAGTTGTTTCCGTAGGTCACCAGTATATAGCTAATCAGAACACACTATCGAAGGTATTCATTGAACCAATCGACTGAGATTCTATTTTAACGCAATTTTAAATTTTAATCGTACTGATCATTTTCTAACATTATCATAATATATTGCTTTCAATAGTAATTGATATCATATAGAGTTCGTATGAATAAATTCAATAAATTGACTTGTATTTACATTGATTGTATCTAAATTATCAAATAAAATTTTTATATTAAATATTATATTAACAATCTCTTTTAGGTACATGCCAGTGGTTCGGGTTGGTCACCAGTTTATATTACTGAAAATTTATCTGCTATGTCAGTTGGTTTTCTATTAACATCACTTGAACAAGCTGTCATATGGAAGGGTCCACGTAAAGATAATATGATAAAACAATTTTTATTAGATGTCGATTGGGGTGAAGGTGAACTTGATTATTTAATTGTTGATACACCACCAGGTACATCTGATGAACATTTATCTGTTGTTAATTATTTAAAAAATGTTTCATCGGTATCGAGTTGTGTTCTTGTAACAACACCACAAGAAATATCTTTACAAGATGTTCGAAAAGAAATATCATTTGTTAAACAAATAAATCTTAATGTTCTTGGCATAGTTGAAAATATGTCCATATTTAAATGCGGTAAATGTCATAAAGAAAGTCAAATATTTCCAAGACATGATGGATTAAAACAATTATGTGAAAATAATAATTATGAATTACTTGCAAGTATTCCAATTGATCCATCTATTGCTAAATGTTGTGATGATGGAAAAGATTTATTTGAAATTCATTCAGATTCATCAACAGCTAAAATTTATTTAAATTTAGCAGAAAAAATTCAAGAAAAATGCCAATCAAAATAGAATGAAACATAAATTTTTCTGTTTTTGCTCTATCTTTTAATTTTAATGTGATTGTTTACGTTTCATTTTTAGATTAATATGCTTTCTATTAAACATAATGGGTTGAAATTAAAAAAACAAGAAGCCTAAAATGGATGCCGATTTTAAGGCTCAATTAGATCAAGAACGAACTAAAGTTGAAGATGCATTTGATTTTCTTGGTTGTAAAGTTGGCCGAGGTACTTATGGACATGTTTATAAAGCAAAGAAAAAAGATGGGTAAAGAAAAATAATTTATTATTCTTGGTTTCTTTTATTACTTTATTTTTCTCATTTAGAAGTGACACACGAGATTATGCACTGAAACAAATCGAAGGTAAATACAATATTATTAGATAATTGAAAAGAGGAAAATTTTCTTTTTTTGTAGGTGCTGGTTTATCAACAAGTGCTTGTCGAGAAATTTCCGTATGCTATTACTTTTTGTGAAATACGATCTAAAAAGAGCATTGAATCAGGAGTCAAAATTTGAACTTGCCTCCATCTTAGTGTGCATTCTTCGTATTGCAAACCGACATGTAGCTTTCTTTCTCGGACGGAAATGGCTCTCTTTTCCTCAGAAGTGATTGCCTATCATAAATCTTTATGGACCGAAAAAATATGGTTTCATGAAAAACCCATATCTAAGGTCAGAAATATTTTGTACTAAGGTGATTGACAGAGCTTCGATGGACAAAACTGGAACGAACTTGGATCATGATTAAGGATGGCAGGCTAATTTTACTAACAAGAGATCCTTTTCCGGTCTTAATGACTTTTATATATAGATACTACGTATTGTTCTGATGAAAACCCTTAAGGAATTTTAATCTCAGACTTTGTGCATAGAAAAAACTCAACTAGACTAGCTTTCATTAAAAAAAATTCATGCTGTACACATCCATGAAAAAGCCTATATCTTGAAGAGGGTTCCTTTAAAACTTACGAATTTTTTTATTGGAAACTAATCTAGTTGAGTTCTCTATATGCACTAAGTTTCAGATGAAAATTCGATAGCTTAGTCAAATATCAATGGAAACCTAAATTATTGAAATCAAAAGGAGAAAGCTGAAGAGGTTCCATCCTAAGTTTTGATTGGCGAGCTTTCCAATGCACGTAGCAATTATAATAAAACCTTTAAGCTAATGTTCGTTTGGATGCACACTGTTCATGAGCCACACAGAAATTGATGTGCGATCAAAGATTGTATACCAATAGCATCTTGTTATAATATGTAAACTACTTGTTTATTTCATTTCTAAAAGATGAAATAAAAATTTTGCGATTAGTAACAGCAACCACATCGTGTTTCACATTTTAAGCCTGCATAGTTTGTACTGAGCGTTTTTTTTTCAATATTTTTTTTTAGTTATTACGTGAATTAAAACATATTAACGTTATTATATTACAACGTGTATTTCTTTCACATGCTGATCGTCGTGTTTATCTTTTATTTGATTTTGCTGAACATGATCTATGGGTAATAAAATTTCTTTTATTGAATTTTGCTTTTTCTAGTACGTTTTTTTTTCTTTAAAGCATATTATTAAGTTTCATCGTTCAGCTAAACAGAATAAAAAAACTGTTGCATGTGCACGTGGAATGGTAAAATCATTACTTTATCAAATCCTTGCTGGAATACATTATCTACATTCTAATTGGATTTTACATCGAGATCTTAAACCAGCAAATATTTTAGTTATGGGAGATGGAGTTGAACGTGGTCGAGTCAAAATTGCTGATATGGGTTTTGCTCGTTTATTTAATTCACCACTTAAACCAATGGCTGATCTCGGTAAATCTAAAGTTTCCTGTAGTTTTAATATTCATACACTACTATAGTTTATCGTTACGAATTTTTCTACGAATACTTGATATGTTAATAGTCAGGATGAATGAATGTTTATGCAAGTCACTTTTGCAACAACCTTGAGATAATCCCTTTTCAACAAGATGCTAATTCCATTATAACGCACGATATAATCAGTGGAGAGTAACTCATGTATCACGAATTGTAAATTAGTCTTCGTGTAGAATTGGCTGAATGTTTGACAAATGCGATTTATTTACACGCAATACAACGTGCAAGTAATCTATGAAACATGAGCATGAATTGTATGAGAACGATGAAAATAGATTATTAGCCCGATAAACGATAATTTAATGTCGACACGGACTTTTTCGATTCAGCCAAGCACTAGAAAAAAACGAAACATAATATTCATTGTGAAATAGTAAAATTTACGACAGATTAATTTTCTTTATACAATCTTATATTTGTGAAAAGTAAAATTGTTCGTCTTTTATTGTCGTCGAATATAAAATATCAACAATTCGAAAATTGACTGAAACTTTTCCTATCGGCATGGTCGGATAAAGCTCATCTAATTAGTTACTTGTGAAACTATTTCAGCAATGATTTTTTGCAGTGAAAGTTAGGTTGAATATGATGTTCGTTTGCTTTGAAACAAGTGTAATCAAATGATATTTGTCAAAAAGTACATACATAGATTTTTTCCTAACCATGTGACGAATAAAATAAAAAAATAATGTCAGATATATATTGAGCGTAGTGAAATTTGATGCTCTAGGCGTATTTCAATGTTTATAGGCATTTATATTTTAATTTTTTTTGAACTCAAGTTTCGTTTCAAAAACTTTTTTCGAGTACTTAACTCCAGACAAAATTGACTCAGTTTTTGATTTGCAGACATCTTACACGTTAAGAAATAAATCGACTCTTTTCAATTCAACAGTAGATTCTGCATCATTTTTTACTCTGCTAATAATATTTAGAATTTTTCTTGTCATTGAAATATATCAGTAATCATAAGTTCTAATAAATATCATTCATATTACTTAGATATTTTTTAATTAATGAAAAAAGAGTCCATTTTATTAATTGGGCATCAACATCAATCATTGAAAGTCATATTTTATTTTAGATCCCGTAGTTGTTACATTTTGGTATCGTGCACCAGAATTATTACTAGGTGCTCGACATTATACAAAAGCAATTGATATTTGGGCAATAGGGTAATTTTTATCTTTTTCCTTTGTAATATATATTTAAAAACTAATTTTTGTTGTTCTTCTTTAAATTAGATGTATTTTTGCTGAATTATTAACATATGAACCAATATTTCATTGTAAACAAGAAGATATAAAAACAAGTACACCTTATCATCATGATCAACTTGATCGAATTTTTTCCGTCATGAGTTTTCCAGCAGGTAAAATAAAATTATATTAAATTGATTTTGAGTAATTAATTTTTCTGTTGTATAGATAAAGAATGGGAAGACATGAAAAGAATGCCAGAATATATACGTTTATCAAAAGAATTTAAAAAGAGCAAGTCAGTTATTTGAAATATATATTTAAAAAGAAACATCCAAACTTCATTATTTTTTGTTGATATTTTTTAGTTATGCTAATTGTAGTTTAAGTAAATATATGGAAAAACATAATATTCGATCGGATAGTCGAGCTTTTCAATTACTTACACGTTTACTTACTGTTGATCCAACTAAACGATTATCTGGTATTAGAGTTTGTTTTCTTTTATGAATATTTACTTTTTTTCTCTCTATTTAGCCTTAGATGCAATGAATGATTTATATTTTAAAGAAGATCCTCGACCTACTGACGAGTAAATTGTCAAATAAAAGAAACTTTATATTATTCATATTGTCAATTTAGTGTATTCGAGTCTGTTCCAATACCTTATCCAAAACGTGAATTTATTACTGATGATGATAATTCTGATGCTGCCGCTGGTGCACATGTATCAAAAACTGAGCCAGCAGTTGTTGTTAAAACCGAAGCTTCATCGGTTCTTCTAACTCAACAACAACAACCATCTCATGTAACACATAGTCAGCAACAACCGAATGTGCATATTAAACAACAACCCCAACAACATAATAATATGGTGCAGCAAACACATGCTCAACAAGTAAGTTTAAAAAAATTGAAAGTCAAAAATAAATATTTACATTGTATTTAGATTAAGTTAATGCAACAACATTCATCGGGACAACCACCGGAAAAAAAATTACGTTTATCTGGAAATTATAACGCTGGTGATCCGCCAAATTATGAGTATCAAGTAAATAATACATATATATGTTATTTTGTGAAACACTCTAAAAGAAGTGTTGAAGTATGAAGGATAGAACTTTGGACCCATGCTCACCCAGTGGTCGATCTAGGATTTTTGAAGAGAACGTGGGATCGTACTCAGGACTCTCCCTCTGCATACACCACAGACAGTATATCAATAACATCTTGTTATCATATGCCAACTACTTACTGCATTTTGTGATGGAGTTAGTAAAAAGATGGTGAAGAAATGTATCCCAAAATAGATAGGGAAAGATAATTTCTCGCTAATTAGCAACAGCAACTACTCCGTGTTTGATGTTTGAATTCTACAAGAATTGCGCAAACAGCTTTTTAATATAAATTTGATGTTTTTTTTAATTTAGAGAAATCCAAATCAACAACAGCAGCAACAACAACAACAACAACTTTATTCACGTTTTTAGTCTGTTCATCTGTATATATATATTATTTATTTATTAGTGCATCCATTGTTTAATACTATTTGTGTACAATTGTTTGTCTTTTTTTGATCCGTGTTTTTGTCAATATAAAATATCTAATTGTAGCTGTTTTGTAGAATATACGGATAACATTTTTTTCGTATAGAATTTCATCATAATAATGTTTTGTTTTGACAGACTAGACATGTATCTAAAAAAATAAGAATGTAATACATATATGAATCGAAAAAGTCAAGCTGCAAAAACGAAAATTTTATATTCCATGAAGAGGTTAGAAAAGATATAACAGAATTTAACAGTGAAGATCACTAGTGATACGTTAAGTCCAGAAATATTTGTGAACGATTGATCTTTTTGTAAAAAAAAGAAAGATTGTAGAGGTATGTGTATATGTATAATAAATACGTTTTTATGTTTCAAAAAACAAGTTGCATATCACAGTAATAGTATCAGAAAATGACAGGGTACTAGTACAATTCGTCGCACGATCACTTCGTCGCGCCCTGTTTGTCGATATGTACTTGTTGCATCTCTCTTAATGAATTCTTTTTTTTCTGTAATCAATGGAAATAATATAAAGTAAATGATAAATTGCAAGAGAGATATATACAATAACGATAGATAATTAATTGGGAAAACGGATCAATAAAAAATATTATTCTAATGCAGTCGTGATAGAGCCAAAGCGTACGAAGAATAATTGGATTTGTCACTTGGTTAATGAATTGCAACATAATCTAAACTAAAGATAACACTGATCCAATATCCTTAATTATGGGACCAGATCAAATAAAAAAATACATTTCACTTCTCAATTTTAACTTTCACCCCACAGTACTTTTCAAGAAAAATGTCTCAAATCGAAAAACTCTTTTCTGTAACAGGAAAATCAATGATCCTCCATGAAGGTTATATCTATACTGTAGAGCGTACAACAACCACGAAACTGATATTTCGATGTCAGAATCGAGATTGTAAAGGTAAGTACTCTTTGAACATCAATCAATTAATTCAAATGAAAATCATTTATCAATTAAGCTCGTTGTCATACCAATTTATCCATGAACGCATTTCTCGCACAACCAACATCACATTTCCATACTTCACAACCTGATCGTGTTCCAGCTATCCAATTAAAAAATTATATTAAAGTTCGTGCTGTGATAACAGATGAATCAACCAGCTCAATTCTTCATTCGGTCTTACGTACATATTCACTAAGTGCCGCTGGTGAACTTCCAAGCAATGAAGCACTTATACCAATGATTCGAAGACAACGTACTGTTGAAACAGTCGATTTCGATGGTCGTTTACCAGAAAAATTAAGAAAGACCTATCGTGATGAAGATTTCATCTTGCACGAAGACAAGAATTTAATCATATTTACAACAAAAACTAATCTATCTATTCTGAAGCAAAGCAAACATTGGTTCGCTGATGGAACATTCAAAGTAAACTATCAATTAAATGTGTCACTTTTTCTTTTCTAATTTTCTTTCATGTAGGTGTGTCTCGACGATTATTATCGACTCTTCACATTACATGCGATGATGACCAATGCAATTATTCCTCTCGTCTATGGGTTATTAATTGGTAAAAGCTCTCAAGATTACAATTTATTCTTCGACAAAGTGTTAGCGCAAGACAATTTCCAACCTGAATCAATTATGACTGATTTCGAAACTGGCACAATCAAATCAGTGAAAGACATGTTGTCAAACGTTTTACACAAAGGTACGTTTTAATCTATTCATAAAAAATGTAATTGAAACGTTTTTTCTAGGTTGTCTCTTTCATTTTTCACAAGCGGTATGGCGACAAGTTCAAAACAAAGGATTAACAACTAAATATAATGAGGATGAGTATTTTCGTTTAAATCTAAAAAAATTGATTGCTCTTGCTTTTGTTCCACTAGATCAAGTTATAACTGGTTTCGACTTAATTTATGATCAATTCGACGATGACGCCGACGATTTACTCGATTATTTTGAAAAAACATGGATTGGTGAAAAAAGAAGAAGAGGTAATTTTTTTTCTCTATTCTTGAGCTACTCTAAATATACTCGACTTTCTAAGGAACTGGTCGAAAGAAGCCCCAATTCGATCATAAATTATGGAATGTTTATGATCGTGTCATCGCTACGGTAACACGATCCAATAATTCGGTGGAAGGCTGACACAATGCATTCGCTAATCGCGTCGCAATAAGTCATCCAAATATAGTGAAACTGGCAGAGAAAATTCACCGTGAACAATCAAAATTGGAAGTGGACATGGCAAAGATTCTCCAAGGTCACGATATCAAGACGAAGAAGGCCTGCTACCGAAGATTAGACGAACGTATTACTCGACTGGGCAACGGATTCGACGCATCTCAACCCAGATCAATTCTTAAAAAATATGGCAACCAACGTTATCTCTTTAGGTATTTTTTTTTTCTTTAGATTATTTTCTTTTCTTTTGGTTTTTTCTTTTTTTTTCTCAATTTGTTCATCATTATATTATGTATTATGTACAAAATAAACAATCATTAACTCATCAATTTTGTATCTTTCAATAAAAAAGAATGAATTAAGAGAGATGCAACGAATAGAGAGTGATGAGTATGGCGAAAGATATTTTTCTGCGACAAACAGAACGAAAAAAAATTCTGCGACGAAGTGATCGGTCACCTACATCTTGACTGAGTTTACAACACGAAGACATGAAAAATTGATCCAGATCGACTTGACGATTCAGGTAATCGAGTTCAGCCACATTTTGAGTCCGTTGTTGATCCAACCAGACTATTTCGAATTCTTCATCAACTGTTTTACTCATGAATACTCTTCATATCTTATTGTGTGTCATGTAACAAAAACAAATGAACTGAATAACAGCATCAGTAGTAGAAGAAAATTGTAAAAAAAACTGTGTTGATCACAGAAAGTGGTCACATGTAAAGAAAGAGAAACTAGTCTCACGGAACTCCGTTACCTTTTTATTATCGCACACATCATACAAAGAAAGTAATAAGTATCGATTGGTGAACTTTTTTCATGCAAACACTTTTATGTGCGTAAGAAAACGTCGTGTAATAGCGTGTTATGATTGCAGTACTTCACACCGCATTTAAGAAGACCTTCACAAATGCTCCTTTTTCTTTTCTCAACCTACGCATCAAAGGTTCTTGAGAAAAGAAAATCAGAAATTACTCATTCAAACATACAATATAAATACTGAGATCGAATCGGTACTGTTTCATTTCAATCTTCCCAATGACCTTCCCTGTGGTTACAAACAGTAAATAAGAAAGTCATTGTTTTCTTGATCTATGCTCACAGGGTGGAGGTGGATGTGGATGGAGTGTGGCTGTAGGTGTGAATGTAGGGGTCGGTGTGAGTGAGCGTAGAGTGCGAGCAGTAACTGTGTGGTTGTGAATTAAGGGAAGAGCTACACCTACACCTACACCGGCATTCACTCCCACCCTCACTCCCACCTCGTACCCACACCCGCGCCTACTCCTACCCCATCCACACCTTTTTCTGCAAAAAATTCTCGACAAAGTTACTTCGACGAAAAATTTGTCGACTAAACTGTCGTTCGACAAACAATATAGCATTCTATTTAGTAGATTGCTCGGCTCAATACATTTTCCAACCTTGGATCATGCCACTATTCCATGTTTAACGTCAATATATTCAACAAATGAGCCTGACATATTTGACTCAAACGAATCTCGCTTATGGCTTTTGCTTCACAAAATATTAATGCCCTCTCACGATAAAAACCATTGCACAGAAATCCACAATACGATATTTTTTTCATAAAAGACAATGCTATTCGTAACCGATCTCAACGTTCATATGAAAAATCAGACAAATTACTATACAAGTAACGCTTCAATACTGTTAAAACGGCTGGCACTGTACTTCCGTAAAAAAAATGATGCAGTGTGATCAAGTATATTTTTTTGGAATTAGACGTCATTTACATGCAAAGATTCTTAAGAAAACAACCTTCTTTTTGCCTCGTGGGGAGTCTTTTATGTTTTTTATGAATGAATTAACCATATACGCCAAATATTTTCTAAATGAAAAGGCTTGAAGTACGATTCATCAATAAAAAAAAAATGCTTTCGCTGTGCTTCAGTCAATATGAATACTATTTTCGTTAAGTAAAAAAGTAGTTTATAATGCGTGCGTTTTTTTCAGGACGTGTTAGTATTACACACATAACACTAATCACACGGTAGATTACTCGTAATGCCCTCTGGTCATAAGAAACAGTGACGAAACTTATATGAACAGCAACACTTATCATATTCAACTTTCAGAATTAGACCTTCTAAGTGCTACCAAAAGTGCTATCGGAATGTGCTCGTTGGAATAGATAAAAAAGGATTATTTGCCAAGAATGAAGAAGTATTGTAATTAGTGAGCGAGTTTGACAATTTCCGTTAAGAAATAGACTTCAGGTTGTGCTATATTAATACTATTTGCTTTCTCATTTTGGTCAATGACTGAGCGATTTTTTGTCAGATTTAAATAGTTTCGCGTGCGTGCTCTTCTGATGTATAGCAGTCATAGAGGACGTGTAGTCTTGTTATTGGCACAGAACCATGCGAGAGACAGCTTTCGCAAACTGTTTCAGAGTTGTGCCGACTTTTAGCGCTTGGAAATCTAATATACAATTGACAATCATGATCTAACTACTGTCGGAATTTTTAAAGAAGGTAGGTGTAAGAAAGGCTTATAACTTTTGAATGGAAGGTCATAGTGACCTGCGGTTTTCGGCGTTCAGCAGACGACAGCTGGGGGCATATGTTGATGCGTGGAGAATGTTTTCCCAAAGTACCTTTCTAGGCTAATTTTAGTAGGCAAAATTAGAGAAAAATTAGCGACTTTTCCATAAGAAAATTTTTCGACTAGTTTTGTAACCCGAAACGTCCTCTTAAAAACCTCTAGCATCTCGAGGAAGCAAAATGTCGAAGTTGCTTTCATACCATTTTGAAGAGGATGCTTCGAGCTATAGAATTTGTGAAAAAAATTTCTTATGGAAAAGTCGCTAATTTTCCCCTAAATTGCACTTACTAGTAATATTAGCCTGGAAAAGTACTTTGAGGAAACATTCCCCACACATCAACATGTGCTCCCAACTGTCATCTGCTGAACGCTGAAAACCGCAGGTCGTTGTGAGCTTCCATTCAAAAGTTATAAGCCTTTCTTACACCTGCCTTCTTTAAAAATTCCGATAGTAGTTTTTTTTCGAGAGAAATCACCGTAGAGAATGATAGTACTGAAGAGTTTATTGGTTTGGTTTTGTAAATTAGAAAGGGAAACATCAACGTTAGTGAGAAGTACGAAGAAATTGTTTACCTTGAACTTAACATAATCCACTTCAGTATTTGAAATTTATATGACACATGATTTAGAACATGTGATACTGAATATATTGAATTTGAATCATCAAACGACCACAGTTCTGCCAATGACAGCTCAGCGGTAAGCCAGCGCTGACAAATAGTGGAGCAGTATTATCTGCTTTTCTTCTTTTTTTTGCTTCCATGTCTGAAATTGATCATCAAAGAACTCACGATATTTCATTACGTCGTCTGCCATCGATTCGAAGCAGTATCACCATCATTTGGCTTGAAAATTCTCATTCATCATCTAAAGTCTATGGCGAGACAATTACTCGTCTTAAATCACTTCACAATTGTTTCATTCTTCTCTATACGAGCGTACCAAAGTGTTTAAAATATTTGAAACAAGTACGACCATATGAACACATTTTTATCATTGTGGATGGTAAAGTAATTAATAAAGAAATATCGATTGCTGTCAAAGGCATTTCTCGATTATATGAGTATGATCAGGTACAATCGGTCTTCATTGTTAATCCTAGTGACCAAGACGATGATCTAGTGTACAACAGTAAACTAACTCATGTGTTTCATGATTAGCATTCCACGTTGGACAAACTTCAGCATGTAATAAATGAAATGCAGGGGAGCGATGGCAATTTATTCATTACATTCAATCAACGGGAAAAAGCACTACGAGATGTACGTGATGAACTAGGTCCATTCGTGTGGAGTCACTGTTACAGAGGTCAGTTTGATAGCTCAGCGAACTTTACATCAGAAATAGAGATGAATTATATTCGATTATCATTTTCCGTTTGTATAGTTATTCTTAAAGAAATGCCATATGATTCACCTGAAGCTAAGCGACAAATGCTCTCTGAGTGTCGTGCATATTATCGTGGCAACCCGAGAGTAATTGCCACAATCGATGAGTTCCGACGTGCTTACTGCTCGGTAGATGCTATTTATTGGTATACAAAACCTTGTTTTCTTCATGGTGTAATCAACAGAGCTCTACGAACTGAAGATATTCTTGCTCAATATACGTTTCGTTATTTTATTGTGGATATGTGTACATGTTTAGAAGAGGCGGCTGCAACTACCAAGACTCGCTATATCACGCCATTTCGCGTTTATCGAGGTGCCATACTCAGCAGAGAGGAAGTCGAGCAATTGAGCGTCGACATGCTTGTGGCCACAAAAGGATTCTTTTCGTCATCAAAGCATCTAAATATTGCCCAAGAGTTCATCGGCATCGATAGCATCACAGGTATGTCACCCAGCCGAAGTCATAAAGACAAGCAACAATTTGTTCTGCTCGAGATCAGTGTTGATTGGACTCAATCACCCGACATGATTGTGGCGGATGTTTCTAGTCAGAGCGCCGTACCAGACGAACACGAGATGATCTTCAATTTAGGTGCCACTTTCGTTATTACAGATATCAACTACGATGACGAGCATCATGTGTGGCATATTCAGATGATTTCATCATCAGAAGTAGCTCAGCTCAATCGCGATTACAATGAATACATTCGCAAACGCCTTACTGAAATAAAACCTGCACTGCTATTCGGCAATATTTTAGCCGATATGTCAGGTGACCATATTGGAGCCTTGACCTACTTTCATCGACTTCTACGGACAGTTCCGGTAGATGATGAAGACCGTCCAAATCTTTACTTTCATTTGGCGCGTACCTATCGTTATACAGGCAAATATCAACAAGCAATCACGTATTATCAGGCCGCTCTATTGTTGCAGCGATGCAGATTACCACAATTGAGCTTCGACTATGGGCGTACTCTGACTGGTCTCGCCGTTGTTTACTCTGAAATCAGCAACTCAGTAAGAGCCGTCACTCTCCACACGCGAGCAATGTCTATTTTTCGTAATGTTTTACCCGAGGATCATATTGAAATCGCTCACGTTTCACATCGGCTTGCCTACGCCTGCTTACAGGAAAAACAGTACGAACGGGCACTTCTACTAGTTTCGAGTTCGTTATCATTCTTTCAGCGAAAAATGCCTACTAATCATCCAGGTCAAGCACAGGCATTGCATACGATGGGATTAATACATCGTGCACTGGGCCATCCAGAACAAGCTATTGATTGCCTCAAGCAAGCGCTACGAATACGTGAATCATCGCAGGCAGCTGATGATCCGGCAGTTGCCTATAAGTGCTTCGAACTGAGTTTAGTGTATGCCGAACAGGAAGGCGAACGTAGAGTAGCATTTGAATATGCTCAGCGGGCATTCACAATTGGCCAGAAAAGATTGCATCCAAATCATATAATACTCAAGCAGATAGCCCAACATTTTGAACACTTATCCCGACAATTGAATGCTTGATGCTAACCACTAATAAGAGCTTCGTGAATATAAATGTGAATGGTTATAAGTGTGTAGATGTGGAAGTTATCTCTTTCGTACCGGCATTTACGCACATGCACAAACCTACATCCAATCAACCACACTCGTTTTTTTAAAATTTACTTTTCAATATTTGATAAATACAATTATATTTAAAAACTAAATTTTCAAAAATATCTCATTCAAAGTATTTCCGTAAACATTATGAGTTTTTTTCCTCAACAAACGAAATAACTTGTATCAATTAATAAATAATTTATTTTATAAGAAAATTAAGAAAGTCAACATATTTCAACAGTAACGATTAGAATACTTTCTTATCAATTGTAGGAAGTGGCAGTTTTCATGGCGAAATAAATGTCACACCGTGGTAAGATTATTGCAATTTACAAAGAACCTGAATTTTTATTGATAAAAGATTTCTGACTGATGTAGAATTGCCACAATTATCAGATGACGACTATTTTTAATAGTAAGAAGGGTTATTTCATCTTAACTGTAGCTGGAAAAAATATTATTCGAAATAAATAATTATTTTTAAACCTAACTTTGATGCTACGATTGAAATGAGATAATAAACCTATTTCCAGCAAAGTTCATCCATCTTACCTTTTGCTGATCGATTCTATTATCGAATAGCAACAAGAAATTTCAATTAAATTGATTAAACAAAAAAGCAAAATTAGACACACGTCAACGGTGATATGTAGGGGATCTTTATCAGCTGCAATTATAATTCTAAATAAAACAAAATATTATTATTTTAAAACATATCTTTCATATAAGTTATTTACCTTTTTCAAACAGCAGTTCAATTTTTTTATAATCGACAAGATGTTGAGAACTATTATTATTCTTGTAAATTGAAAAATTAATTTAATATTGAAGTTAATGAACTTCAAAGCTTTTTAAAAAAAAGAAACATTATTTAATTTAGAAAAGTAAGAAACTTATCATATTTTATTTTTCAATCATTAAGAAAAACCGGCTATTAGAAAAAATTTCGAATAATGATTGACAGCTTTAATCGACTTTGAACCATCATCTATGCTCCCAAATTAGAAGCTATGGTTTTATAAAGTATTAATAAATTGCAATTCAAATCGATATTTTCAAAAATGTAAATGAGATTGTCTATTTAACAAACTATTGAAAAAGACATTGTGAATAAACATGCTGAACGTGTGTGAAAGTTCATATCAGAAACGAGGTCAATTGTTGCAATGATCTTCATTTCGAAATACATATTCGAAACAATAATCATTTTTTTAAATATTTTGAAAAAATAGATGTGCCCTCACTTTTTTATTTAAATTCTTTGCTAATATTTGATAGATCTTGATTAGAACTATCCATTGATATAGATTGTATAGTGGATCCAAACGTTTCAGTCAACCAAAATTTCTATGTCATCATTTGAACATATATAACGTTATATATAACAATACTCAAACTCCTACTTCTTTGTGAGTTTTCTTAACATTAGATGATAGGTATCGATCAAATCTATCGATTGATATGAAATCCAAAGTAGACTGCTACCTTTAGAGACGAATACTAAGTGATATTCGTTATAGAAATTCATTAGTGGTATGTGACATGGATCATATCATTATGTAATGAAAGACAATGAATAATCTTACTGCAGATATTCATACATCCATTCAATAGACAATGGCAAGAGCTTCATTGAATATTTACCATGAAAACACAATACATTAAAAGATCTGATTTTATTAGTTAAAAATTTCTGACATTCGAAATGACAAAACGAGTAAGATAGAGTTGAATTTTATGGAGCATTTGAATTTGCTTTATAATGACTCTCTCCATTTTATGAAACTTCTCTCTTTGCGTATGTCTAGCACAGCTGTGAATACAATCAATGATAGATAATGAATCAGAGAGAAAATCAAGCGATCAATTAATAGAATTCATTAGAAAAAAATAGAGTCATATGTATTAATAGATTTGTCTAAGTAATGAATTTTGCAAGGGTTACTTTTTAGTTTCTTTCCAACTTCGATCAGCTAATTAGTCGAAACGCAACTATTTCGATCTACACTAGCAAAAGAAATCTGATTTCAGTAAAACGTAAATATCTTTTGGAGAAAAGTGTTTCGTGTATTGAATCGAGCAGTGAAATTCGGATATCATCTAGTTATATGGGGGTTACAAATTTGACTGGTACCCCGTTTTGATGCAGATCCTATTGTAAGAATAAAACCTACTATTGTCCGGGCCATATAAGAGAGGGTCCTGTTATGTCTCTTATCTTCGAATGACGACAGAACGGAGAAAAAGAATCCCCCTTCGCATGGAATCGAACCATGCACCTCCTGCTTACCGGGCAGACGTATTAACCACTGTACTAGAAAGGGTATCTCCTCTTCGTCTTACGATTGTATGGGAACAATACGATCGTAACAGGTCCTACATAACCCTAGATTGGCCCGAACAACAGCATGTTTTNGTAAAGATGATGATATGGATCAAGAACGAGCACCAAATGATATTCTTAATAGTGGTAATATTTAAATCTATATTCAAAAATAATTCACATAAAATTGAATCCACTTAACTATATTACACTGAGATGCATTGAGATATATAGGAGAAATCGTCACCTTGTTATTTAAACTTAGATTTAGTAAAGTTTCATATAGGAATTTGTAGTTTCATTTTACTGACACCTGACTCAATGTAGTTAGTACATAGTCATTACATAGATACCAATATTTTCATAAGTACTGAAATGCACGGCTACAAAAACGGCTCATTTTGATAGAGTTACTATGTCAATGCTTCAATAAAAATCGATGCTAGCGTAATCTAGATTCCTACTCAAAAATGTTGAACCCAACGGACTCTAGTTGTCTGAGAAATGTGTAGGATGCTCTAATCATCAAATACAAAAAACCGCAAAGAGGTATTTCGTATCTTCGAAGCGACTATCCAGTTCTGATTAGAGAATTTCATTGAGAGTATCAATTATACGACTCGATCGACTCCGAAAATTTTCGCCGCAGCGATCTCTAGTGTTATTAGTACTTCAGTCTCGGTTACCCTTTGTCAGTGTTTATACCAACATTGCACGTGTCTAGTTCCATATGTATGTGTTTTTTTCTGGTATGAAATTTTGTATTCGAGTTTACTGGTCGTAGAGAAGTGCGTCATTTTTCATTATTTGTTAAAAACCTAATTGTTTGTTGTATTTTAATCACGTCACTTCCAGTAGCAGATGAAGCGATGAAGAAAGGTGGACAAGCGGCAGCAGCAAGTGCTAATCCTAAAACCGGTGGTAGTGGTAAACCTAGTGAACAACGTTATTTTCGTATTCCATTTGTTCGTCCTAATGAACAAAATCGTGATAATAGTGGTGAACATAAAAAGAAAGGCTGGTGGTATGCTCATTTCGACGGTAATAAAAAAATAAAATTTATTCTTTATGTTTGTTCAATAACAAAAACAAAATTTATTTAGATAAATGGATTGCTCGTCAAATGGAAATTCATCCGGATAAAAAACCAGTCTTACTTGTTGCAGGTTATTTGATTTCATAAATGTGTTTTTTTTGTTATTTTTAACATATAAATATGTAATAAAATTTTGTTATAGGTATTGACGATATGAATATGTGTGAATTAAGTTTAGATGAAACAGGTTTAACGTTAAAAAAAGGTGCTGAAATACTTGAAAATGATTTTGAACAAGAATGGAATAAACATGGTGGTCGAGCATATTTGAAGAAAAATAAAGGACAAATAAGTTCAAAATATGTTATTCAATTACTTCAAAAACATCATTAAATAATATTCTCCATTATATATGCAGTAGAAGACATCGATTTTTATTTGTGCTAAAATTTTATTCTATTTTAATGTCCGATTCTGAATGTGATGATCTTTCTTTTACACTTTTTTTTTTATTTCTGAGAATGGAAAGAAAATCTCTTTCTTCTCTTAGTTTCATTTTAATGAATTTAATCTTTTTAGTTCTATTTCATATAAGTAAATTAACAAAATTTATTTTATTTCAGATGCATTCATCAAAAAAATAATAAAAAAAAGTTATGGGTGGAATGAAATTTGAAGTTAGTGAAATTTTTCTTATGTTAGATTTTTATTATTTAAACAAAATTTCATTGAATTTTTTTTAGTACGATGAAAGTGGAGGGAAGTTTTATTATTTTATTTTGTCTGTTTATGCATTAATTCTTATACCGGCAACCTATTGGTTATGGCCTAAGACAGAAAAAAGAAGTAAAACTATAAGAGAAAAAATGATATATCTTTTGTTTTATTTGTTCTACTATGTATAGAAACTATACCACATCCTGAGGATACATCCAATTTTGCTCCATGTCGTCATAAACATCAATTATTACATGCAAGTGAACCTAATCGAAGACGACGAGCAATAATAACGTAAGAAATTTATTCATAGACAATGAGAAATCTTATTGAAATTTTTCGAATACTTGCGGAATTAAAATATGATGTAGTAATAGGTTGCAGAGCCATGAGGTTTGAGTAAGCTCGAGCCCACCTTATCTTGCGCTAAGAAAGGTTTAGATAGGCTCTATTTAATGTACAAGTTTTCTATTACTGTTTAATTCTTGCTTCCTTCTGACAGGTAGGGTGCTGGTATAAAGTCAGTCCACATTTTATCTACTACGGACTCGTGTCTAATGAGCGTAGGGAGTAGGCCTCAGTCTATCCTGATATTCATTTCAAAATATAATGTGCACCACTGTTTTTGCAATAACTTTTGATAGGGACATCGTAGAGATCTGAGGTTTTAACTATTCGAGGCGAGAAGATCCGGCGTCATCGAAGTGTATCGAAATTTGATTGATTAGCATCAATCAAGTGAGTTCTTAATGGAAACTTTCGAAAACGATATTCTGAAACTATCGATCCGTCCTATTAAAAGTGTTAATCGAAGAATATCGTTTTCGAAAGTCTCCACCAAGAACTCACTTAATTGATGCTAGCTAATCAAATTTCGATAAAATTCGATGGACTCGAGTCTTCTCTTTTGAATGGTGGGTGAAAACTGTAGATCTCTATGATATTGTTATCGAAAATTATTAAAAACAAACAGTAGAGTGCATATTCATGTTTTTGTCTAGTCCTATCGTTTTGATATTCATGACTTCCTTGCGTTTTTATGAAGACAGTTTTCTACTTCCATTCATTTATGATCATAATATTAGTAAATAAAAATACTACACAGCTCATAATAGGTTCTGTCAAACTGGAAAGATATATCGATAGACTAGATCTACTTTTCGTTAGCATGTTTTAGACTTCTGGTGTACATATTATTTTTATTGTATAACTCATTTATGATTATATACATAAAACTATTCTGTTTTTTTTTTATAGTAAAATTGGTTTAGTCTTAGCATGGATTATCTTAATAGTTCTTTCTTATCGTGTATCATTAATTGAAACTGAACATAAAGAATATGATCCATTTGGAGTATTGGGTGTTGATCGAGTATGTGCTTGTTATTATTTAATATTGATAGAGAATAAATAAATAAATAAAAACAATTTTTTTAATTTAAAGGAAGCATCAATCCATGAAATAAAACGAGCCTATCGTGATTTAAGTAAAAAACATCATCCAGATCGTGGTGGAGATCCAGAAAAATTTGTAAGTAAAACTAACAAGTAGGATATAATGAAACGAATTAAATGTAAATGTAATTTATCTCTCATTTAAATTCATATACCAATAAATAGAGCATTTCAAGCTTTACAAATCAAAGAATATTTCGATAACGAAAGCAAAGAATTTTATATCTACCAATTGTTTTTGGTCCCAATCTCACCAAAACCATCTTGCCCATATCTAGGATATTTAAAAAACAAAGGGTTTCTTGTGAAAGTGAAGTAGAAAGTTTTGTAGAACTTGAAATTCTTCATCTTTTGATATACAAGTGAATATATTATATGAATAGTAAATTATTAGAAAAATTCCACTGATGATTCATGATAATTCATCGATTATTAAGGATAAATTATGAGAAAAGAAAAGAAATATTTTGTTTTTAGAAAGAAATAGCTAAAGCATATAAAACATTAACTGATGAAGAAGCAAAAGAAAATTGGAAAAAATATGGAAATCCAGATGGACCAGGAGGTTTGTTTTATTGTTTCTAACAACAAGAAAAAAAAAACCATAATTTATGAATTTTTTTTTTTAAATTATTAGTAACACATTTTGGTATTGCTTTACCAAAATGGTTAGTTGATCATCAAAATTCAATATTTGTTCTTTTGGTTTATGCTGGTATCTTTATGATTGTTCTTCCAGTTATTGTTGTATGTTAATAATAATAAAATTTTCTCATAGATTTTCTTTTTTGTTTGTTCTAATTTAAAGTGTATTTGGTGGCAAAAATCTGCTCGTTATTCAGGTGATCAAATATTAACTGATACAATTCAACTTTATTGGGTATTTTTATGTCGAACATCATCAATAATTATTAAACGTAAGTTAATCGAATGGAAATAGTTGAATGAAATTTTGATGTACCTATGTTCAAATCTATCTCACGGTATACAATGATGATTTAGTTTTCAATTTATCTGTCAATCCTCTGAGAAAATTTCTTTTGATGTATATGAAACTCTGAGTATACCGAATAAGAAATATTCATAACAAAAATAAAAAATTATTAAAATTAATCTTTGTATTTTCTTTTTTGTTCAAGGTGCAATTATGATTCTTAGTGCATCAAGAGAATTTGATCGAACTCGTAATCCACTTATTGTTGATCGATTAAGTGATAATGTTGAATTACCAAAAGTTTGTTTTTATTTTGCAAACTGATCGATATATAGAATTAATTTATTATTTAGTTATTTCGAGAATTACCTGATGTACAAGAAAAAACAAAAGAAAAACCATTTCAATTACCATATTGTTTAAAAGCACGTACACTTCTTCATGCACATCTTCTACGACTTAATACATTAAGTGACAATCTTGAAAGTGGTATGTTAATTTTATTTGAAATCTTTTTTTGTTTCAATTCTTTTTTGAGTATTATTAGATAAACGATATATTGTTACAAAATTACCATATTTAATTAATGAAATGATTAATCTTGAAGCTCAACTTGTTGCTTTGGGACATGCTGGAAGATGTAAGGAGTTTTTTGTTTTGAAAAAAAAAAAAAAACGAAGAATTTTTGTTTTTAAATTTAAGTGAGAAATGCTCCACGTCTTGATACAATTGAAAATACAATGAAATTATCACCAATGATTATACAAGCATTATGGCATACGAAAAGTTCTTTACTTCAATTGCCACATATCACTGAAAGTCAATTAAGATTTTTCGAAACAAAAAAAGTATGAAAATATAAGTCTTCTATAGAGATATGTATGGTTACTCTATCCTGTAGAATTAGAGAAGGATTAAATATTAGAAAACTTTTTCCAGTACAATTGCAATTTTGAAGATAAAGTATAGATTAATAAAACCTTAGAAGAAAACAATAGATTTCATATTATCCCCTTTGGTTAGATTAGATATGTTTAATGAATAAATCAAGTTACAATTAATTTCGAATTGTTCAATTTTTATTATTGAGTAGATTTAAGATTTTATTTATTTTTTATTTCTTGAATAATATCCAAATATCTTGCATCTATATATAAATTGAATAACATTTGCAGATTAATTCATTAGTTTTACACTACAAAAATCTTATTGTTCTTGCTCTTCAAAAAGAATTTCTCACATCATTTTATTACTCTGTGATAAAGACTAGGTTTTTTATTCAGCATGAAAGCCGAAGAGGCATTGCCTTTTCGAAGACTAAATTGTCTATTTCCCACAAGTTTCTGGTTATTGTACAACATGGTCGCTATGGTTGAGTCGATACGTTATTTGACATGTATCAACAAGGTACTTTTTTTCAAATCTCAATGATCCTGGACTCCATGTTAACTACGTTGTTACATACAACTACTCATGTGGTTAGTGGGTGTGTATGGAAAACTCAAGAAATCTGCGTCCGATCGACATTTTGTCCAGAGCTACAGCTAGTATTAGTTGTAGGGACGATATTGAATTACTAAATCCTCCACCTAAACGAAAAACAAAGATATTTTCCCTTGTCCATATTGTATCACGTATTATACATGCGTGCACTCAAAAATAAGTATTCGCCTTTGTGACTCCACCTAAAAATAAAACCTAAATAAAACACTTATACAAAGTTTTTCTGTTTTCAGCGAACAATCAAATCAATACGACAATTTGCAGCTATGAATGATGAAGAACGTCGTTCTATGTTACGTAGTATTACAGATGAACAGTATGATGATATCATGAATGTTCTTTCTATTTATCCACATATAACAATGAGTGTATCATGTGGAGGTATTGATCTTATTTACGATAAAAGAAAAAATAGCATTCTTATTTATGTATTTTTGTTGTTGTCTAGTATTCGATGATGAAGATGAACATATAATAACAACAGGTGCTGTTGTAACATTAACAATACATTTACAACGTGAAAATATGTCAAGTGTATTTAATAAAGAAATTGGATCGAATACATCTGCTGCTATAAACACTCTTGATTATGAAGCAAATGAAGAACAAGCAGAAGATAAAGAAAATCGAGAGAAGGTTAAGATTTTCAAAATGAGTAAATATTTTCAATTTTTTTTTTTTTTTTTTATAGACTAATGAAACATCGAAAACAACTGCATCGAATACATCAAAAGGTTGGAATAATAAATCGGATAAGAAAAAAAAATCAAAAAAAAAAGGACAA